TTTTTTTGGATTATTTGCAGTGTTCTTTTATTCCAGCATGTTTTGAAAAGTAATTTTACGACATTTTTTGAAACTGCTTGGCGCACCGCCATCTTTATTTTGTTTTTCGTGGCTTTAAAAGCTCGCGCCATCATAAAACTCGTTCCCATTTCCCTCGCGGTAAAAGTTAACTATATGGAGCTACCTTAAATAAGGATTTAATTCCGACATCTTGTTTGGTTGTTGCACGTGACAAACTTTAAAGGCCCAAAGCTTTGCACTCTTTCTTGTTCTGACTTTAAATAACAGTACCACTCTATGACCACTCTATCAATGCAAAAAGAATTAAAGTTAGTTCAGACATTCTCCTTTTTTTTCTGCAAGAAATTTGAATAACTGTAACCGTACTTCCATTAACGAATTATATTGCTAAATTTTCTCCCATTTGAAAATAGAAATTTAAAGCATTCGTTCCAATTTTTAAATACGAATTTCCTTTTATTTTGATAAAAACTACGGTCAACAATTTTTTTTTCTCAAGGGAGAAGTTGACAAATTCTTTTGGGTAGGGGCCACTTAGGACTGTTCTTTTTTTTATCAGGGTGAGCAGTGCGATGCAGGGAGAGAGGGATACTTATATTTAGTATAAATACACAGGTGATTATTTAAAATCTCACACGCTGATTGGTCAAGAAACTCAGATTATCACATAATAATCACCTCCAGCGATAATCCAAAATGGCGGCCAGCCAATTCGTTGCTTTTACCGAAAAAAAAAAAGACTTTTATCTTCTTCTTTTTCCTTTTTTTGAAAGAATCAACTGTGTATTTATACTAAAACAATTATTTGCCTCAGGCTCAGTGAATATCGGGAATAATAACCTCAACTTCGTTTCAGTTATTTTTCTCTATATTTAGTTTGTCTTCGGTGAATAAGTGTTGAATAGAAGGTGGAGAGGCTCTTCATACCTTTTAGAGGGTTAAATCAAATAAGCTAATTAAAATGATGAAAAATTAGATCATTTTGGTACCAATTAGGAATGAAACCTACCATTTCTATGACTACTAGAAAAAATATACAATGTTACCTTTTAGGTTTCATTTTCAAAATTTCTAACGAGCATCCCTGCACTTCTAAATGTCTAGTGCAACTTGAATAGCTAAATTCTGGCTGAGTAGTCAAGCCCAAAACATTTCGAGTCAAGGCTCCAAGGAAGGGTCCTTTTGTCTGTGCTCACCTTGGAGGACCATCATACTGACACTATATTGTTTTTTGTAGTTGGATCATCAAGGAAAGGAAGACTAGCTGAATCTATAAGTGTTAGTTTTAGATGTTATTTATAATTTATCTACATATAATGCTTTGTTGTATGTAGATTTGTTTTCACCACTTTAAGAATAAGAACTCAAACTATCAAAGGTTGTGCAAGCTTTTTGTTACAAATGAAAAGTGACCACATCTTTTGAATTTTCTTACAATTTACTAAATGCTGGTAACTTATGCACATATAATGTCTCCATTGGACCTGATGACTGGCTGGCTTGGATCAACTCTACATATTATGATATATATTTGATTGATTTTGATTTTGATTGCCTTTTATTGCATTGGACTAATATATATTGATCTTAATTATTTGTCTCACATTGAATGATTGATTTTACATTTGATTGATTATTGATGTACATGAAAAAGTTTCTTTCAAAATTTTGTATATTCTATTCAAACTACTTCTAAATTTTTTTCCCAAAGACAGGCATTAATTAAAGATACATTTTTGATTATTTCAGAATTAGATTTTCATTGCTCTAAGTCCTTTGCTTTAATTTTTTTCAACGCTTCTTTTTGCTTTCGAATCAGATTTGGCAATTTCCAAGAATCCGAAATTTTGAAAAAAGCTTTTTGGTAAACAATTTCTTTGTTTGACATGTTTTCAGTTTGTACAGTATGCTCTCGCTGTACTAAAAAATTCTGTGATTCTAAATGTCTTTTAATTGAAGGAAAAAATAATCTCTTTTTAGCTTTTCATTTGGTTCATTGATTTTAGTTGTTCTGCAATCATAGTACCATAAGTGAGAGGATACTGTATACATCATGATGATTGTTATACTCATTGATGCATTTGATGATACAGTAGAACCCCACTATCTTGTCCTTGTTATCGTTACTCAAGGATCAAGAGAATCAAAAAAAGGTTTTCGTACCTTTACATACTCTTATAAATTGTATTTCCCTATTTTCATGCTGTAACTATTTTCTCAATCAGCGTGTAGCAACTAAGACAGTGATAACCAAATTCATGATCAATCAGCTGCATTTGACATTTTTAAATGTTATTATTGGCTTTTCAATTTATCCTTTGAGCATATTAGATGAGATAGTGTGGTTCTACTTTCTTTGATCACCATATATTATGATGCTTTAATAAAGATTTGCCTGCTACATTCTGCACTCCTGGTTCACTCCCTTCAACACGGTAAGTCAAGTGCATAATTTACCAGCATTAAGTCTTGTATTTTTCCACCAATGTCCTCTTTTATCATCCAGTTGTTTTTCTGAATATCTTACATTGCTATTTAAAAATATGGTAGACCATGTATTTTGGTGTTACATTCATTTTAAGATACCCGTAGGATGTTGGTTGGAAGGTACAATTTTATAATTACTTTTCGCAGACAAGTTCTTAGTTACCTTACTAACACTAAAACTTGCAGAGCAACAGATGAGTCAATTGAATTAATTCACTCAAATAACAAGTATCATGTACAAAAGATTTAGGCTTTCATGTCTTTGCCAATTTTATTTTTTTAGTTTTTTTAAAGTTAGTACAAATTGAACCTATTTTGTGCTACTGTGGTCAACTTATTGGCCCATTACCTGTTGCAACTGCTTGTA